CACCACATTTAAAATCCTTAGAAATTTTATATTTTAAAAGATGTCGCTTGAAGTATGTTTTATTATTTGTCTCATAATCACAATTATGACATTTAAAATCCTTAGAAACTTTATGTTTTAAAAGGTGTCGTTCGAAGTATATTTTATTATTTGTCTTATAATCACAATTAGCGCATTTAAAATCATTACAAACGTTATGTCTTAAAAGGTGCTTTTTGAAGTACCTTTTATTATTTGTCCCATAATCACAATCCGCACATTTCAAATCCTTAGACACTTTATGTGTTAGAAGATGTTGTTTGAGATTGTGCTTGTGATTTGTCTCATAATCACATGCAGCACATTTAAAGTCCTGAGAAACTTGATGTGTTAGAAGATGTCGTTTATAGATGCTTGTATCATTTGTTTCATAATCACAATCAGACAATTTACACTCTTTAGACACTGTTTTACATTGGGTTAAAAGGTGACGTTGAAAGTCATAGTGTGGTTCTACTTCTTCATTATACAGATATGTTGAAGATGGTGTACTAATGGTAATTTCGTCCTTCACTGTTACCAAAACTTCGTTGCTTACTGAAATGTGTTCCTGAAAGAAGGAATGGATTTCTTCTTCTTGTTTTGGTTCGATTTTAATGAGTAGTGTATCATTATCTCCATTCATACCTAACATTTAACAACACTAATTATTATAAATAAATGTGTTTTTTGTTGAATAAGAGTTGAATCACGTCACAAGTGTACAATAAAAAAAACTTAATGAGCTGAGCTGGGGTATGTCGGTTTGTTTAGGGTTATACGCAAGCCATCACGCAAGCGCGTAATCTATTTATAATACACTATAATACCATTGTATACTGTGCGATCAAAAATCAGTTGCTTTCGAGTCACCTTTGGAACTTTTGTTTAAATGGGAAATCGTATTTAACTTGAACTTCCAAAGGCGACTCGACAGCAACTCATTTTTGATCGCCCGTTATTTCTCCCAAGAGAGGTGATTTTGAACAACCCAGGAAATGTGATGTTAACCACAGAACACCATAGCTGTTTTTTAGCGAGGCAGCGGTATAAAGCAGTTTAAAGCGTTGTTAAGGCGGCTATATAGGGACAGGACATTCAAAATTTGAGCTGCGCCAACGTAAATAATTATATAGGCAACCAATCGTGCAATTCGAGTCACCAGGCATAATAAGCTCTCTGCAAATGACGTCATGTACCTACAATAAAACCAGATTCCAGACCCTCATTAGCGGCTATTCAACAACGGTTTGTGATGTTTTGGTAATACCAAAGAGTATTAACTGGAAACCTTTGAATATAGAATAGGAAATCAAAGTTGAAAACGTATATCTACTACATATACAGGGTGTTAGTAAATTCGATTTAGATATTTTGAGGTGTTATTGCGGGTGCAAATACAAGCATTTTGACATAAGGAACTCGTGTCCGGAAACGCAAGCATTCGGCGCTACGCGTCCTTAAAGTTGCGCGCTTTTGCGCCTGAGATTTAACGCTCCTGGGCATCGATTCCCGAAGTTAGTCGATATGCTCCGTGATGTGCATGTGATGTGACCGGCTGCCATGACGTCATGATCGTATACGATAGGGATAAGTTCAAGTCTAGCTGCATTCCCGAATCGTGGACAAACTTTATGCGCTAACCAATCACAGACAAGAATTGAACTGTCATTTGTCAGTTTTGTATTTTGTTTTGTTTTTGCATTATGGATACTGCTATTAATAACCAGAAAATCCTCGAACAATTCCATGTTTTATTTCACAGAAAATATGTGAATTTATAGGTTAGGGCACTGAATAACCTCTATAGCAAAACAGCTGCAAGATCCGTCCTGTAGCTGCAACTGCGCATGACTTTCACGCAACGAGTGGTCTAAACCAGTCGTTGCGTTCGATCAACTTTTCGCTCGATGTGGTAGGTTCGAGAATGCAGTGACATTCACGTTCACATCAAGGTCAGTCGATGTGAACCAGAGCGTCGATTCCCGAAGATGTGCTTTGTTCACATCGACTGACCTTGATGTGAACGTGAATGTCACTGCATTCTCGAACCTACCACATCGAGCGATAAGTTGATCGAACGTAACGACTGGTCTAGACCACTCGTTGCGTGAAAGTCATGCGCACTTGCAACTACAGGACGGATCTTGCAGCTGTTTTGCAATAGAGGTTATTCAGTGCCCTAACTTATAAATTCACATATTTTCTGTGAAATAAAACATGGAATTGTTCGACGATTTTCTGGTTATTAATAACAGTATCCATAATGCAAAAACAAAACAAAATACAAAACTGACAAATGACAGTTGAATTCTTGTCTGTGATTGGTTAGCTCATAGTTTGTCCACGATTCGGGAATGCAGCTAAACTTGAACTTATGCCTATCGTATACGATCATGACGTCATGGCAGCCGGTCACATCACACCAATGAATAAAGAATACCAGGAAGGAGCATATGAACAATATACGTGCGACCGCGATGGCTTTTGCAAATGGCGGACAGTAGTTTGCATTGCTTATACGGTTTTACATTTATGCAATTGTGTTGCAACTTTTGTGCAAGTTCAGAAAAGTGTTGCAGTACTGACAACATATTTTTCAAAAATTGAAACTTTTCAGTTTGTTTACACAGAAGGTTATTCTTGAAACTTAATAAAATTGACCATTAGGTATGAGCAAACAAAAGGAAATGTTATGTGGTGCCGCTTGCTATTAAAAAAATAACACACGCGAAACCAAATAAATTGTGGTATTGACAAAATTACTAGAAAAGTTACTAGAACTTGCGCCAAACTTGCAAGTGAAATAGAACTTTCTCTATTTATTTTTCTTGCACCTGAATTGCGTATGAACATGTGCAGTAACGTATCTTAACTTGCATTGCTCTTGCATTGCACGAAAATTGCCTAATGTAAAGCGGCTTTTACACATGAAATGTAATTCCCAAAGTTTTATTTTTTTCTATTTTGGAGCAACCACAAGCACAAGAACTAACCATTCTTTGTATGTCACTGCAACGGTCACAACAAAAATGACTCATAAGTGGCTTTTGCAAATGGCCGGCTTCCGTCGCACTCTCTCTCGTATACAACTCATATATATACTTCTCTTATATATATGATACAACTTGATTAATGCTCCTTCCCTAGTATTCTTTATTCATTGCATCACATGCACATCACGGAGCATATCGACTAACTTCGGGAATCGATGCCCTGGAGTTTTCGAGAAAGTGAGCACAAAGTGAGACAGTCCATCGCTCGTCGCTTGCATTCATGTTTATCTAATACATACATCATACATAGTCCAAATTGTACATAATTTTTATGTAATCGATATTATTAAATTGTTTTTTGATAAGTAGGTAACAATATACCTACATCAAATGTATGAAAAAAATGTATGAAACGGTTCTAAAAAATGAAAACGTTGTTACTCCTGAATATTACATTTATTGATGTACAATATTTTTTTAATTATCCGTCAATTATCGTTGGTACTATAATAGACGAATAAATGGAAGGCATTGAGATTCTTTTGTTACTGGTCTAATAGGGTCATAAACCATTGTATATAAGTACATATAATGGTCATTAGGTGTTAATATTGTCCAGGTAAAAGTGCTACCTGAGTTGCCTATCGTCATTGTATGGAAGGTATTGCCATATTATGGTATTGCATTTCTTCCGTCGCTATAGTTTATATAAACTTTTGAGTAAAAATTACGTTAATTTAATTTGAAGCAGTTCGTAATATATTTTTTTAATCCACTTAGTTACTAAATAAACTGTGCGGATTTACTTTTTAAATATTTTTTTTACTAAGGCCAGTATTCGCGTTCTTAGTAAATTCAAGATTATCGTTTATACACGACTTAAATAATTTTATCAAAAAAATAAATTGCTACATTTAATGACTCTCTATATCTCTATCATTTTCCGATAAGACCTCTAGTTAGAATTAATATTTGGGCTTCAAAAATTACTCAAAAGTTTCGACTTTTATTGCAAATATCAGTGACCATTGTGTGTTGCCTATCCTGTATCCCTAGCACCCTTAAACCAGCGCAGTAAACCAGTAACAAGGGATTGAGAAGAGTTTTTGTTCCTGAGAGAATGGTTTAAAGCCCGCCGAGGGCTTTAATATTCTTAAGGGAACAAAAACTAGTTTAATCCAGTGTTGCTTATATTATTTTTTCCAATACCGACCGATTTAAATCCATTTTTCGATGAATTGTTTACAAGAAAACAAAAATGTTTTAATTAAAATTACCTGTTAATGCACAAAAATTAAGGATTAAATTCAATAAAACAATGTAGGAATTGGAAAAAAATATAAAATAAGCAAATTGAATGCCAAAGATAAATTTAAATTAGGTACCTAGCGTAAAAGGAATCCAATGCAAATAACTGGGACAATTTAGATAGTAGGTATGACTTAGGTACCATAAATTTGATGATAATAATAATGATAATAATAATAATGATTTATTGTCCAACAGATGTTTGTACATCCAATTACAGAACAATTACAGAAATTAAATATGGCATGATTGAAAAATAAACATAATATACTATAAATTGATTATCAAAAAAAATAAAAAAATAAAGAGATATTCAAATGTAAGGAGACATATATATCTACGAAATGACAAACCAATTAAAGATTAATGAAATAGATTAATTACATCTGATAATGAGCAGATATTTAAATCACATTGTGTGCAGTATTGATTACAATTTTGTGACATCAAACACACTGGCGATTTTAACAGCAAGTTCGTTTTGGGTGTCGGATTAAGAAAAACTAACGGATAGCGACTAGTATGAGGCGGAACATGAAAGTTAAATAGGGACAGGACGCTAGGACAATCAATACGGTTATGTAATAGACCATGGGTAAATTTAAGACTATTGCAAATACGTCTTTTCTCCAATGATTGCAGATTAAACCGGCTAAGCAGTTCATCATGATGTGTAGATCAGAAAATAGTTACCTTTTCAGGTGCAAAATTTATTAAAATTACATATTCTATACAAAATAAATGCACATTAGTGTTAGTATACCATACACCTATACATAAACTATATATCTAAATATAAGGCGCATCTTACAGTTTAATAGTATCAGTAACAAACATTTAAATAAATATATTTTGTGCTTAATTAGTGCCAGAATCTGAATTTATTACAGGAAGAAATAACCACGCAGTAGCAACAATCATTTACACAGAAATAACCATATCATAGTCCGGAACACCTGCACGATAAGACTGAACGTATCTTATGTGAGTGGCACTATCGATGTAGCTTTTTTTCACAGCCGGATCATCACGCATTAAGGTACGCCACTCCATCTACAAAATTCAATCTCACTATGTTCAAATGTAAGGATGTTTGCTATATCTCACCAATTTTTTATAGTAATCGGGTTTGATTGTGAAATGGCTGCCGAATAGTTTCAATAAATCGGCTCGTTCGCACCACGGCCAAATCATATAATCTAACATTCCAGGTTTATGGCCGCTAAAGAAAGGTCCCTCTCGTCTTTTTAATTCGTTCTCGAACGAAGCGAGCCCTTCGACTATTATACTCCTGTAATCCTCTATGTAACTTCGATTTGTATTTAGGATTAGTTTGAACATGGCGTTTATTACCTGAAAAATAGTGTGTAAGAACATTACATGTAGGTACTCCAGTCACACTTTAGGCGACTCTTGCTAGACGCATTGTGGACATATGAGCTTTCATGGTAATTTTTATCCTTCTCTGAAGTCCCATAGGTCAGTATATGTAAGTAGTGAAAAATATGACAATTTTGATTAGTTACGTACTGTTGCTATAAAATGGTCAAAGAAACCAAGATCGGTACTAAAAATTTTGCAAGGAAATGGCCCATTTACACATCAAACCAAGCGCAAGTGGTGTGGGAATCATTAGGAACGGCTTGGAATATGTTTTTCGGATTAAAATCTCTAATCTGGCAACACTGCCAAACACTAGCTTTTGGATATAATCTTGGAACATTATGTACAGGCAACCTGCGTCAAGCTGAAGCACTAGCGCGTAGCCGTCTATACATGTTTTTCAACCACCATTGGATAGAATTTCTACCAGTAGCGCAGTAGCGCTGCCATTGGCTCAACGCGCATTCGTCTAGTGCTTCAGCTAAACGTGGGTCGCCTGTAATACTTGTATTTGTCAAAAATGTATTTTGTGTCCTAAAAGTGTATTTATTGGTTTCATTGAGCTTGCTCCAACTTATAGAGGGTTACTCCGAGTAATGACAGCAATGCATTTATAAGAGACCAACGAACATAAGATGCTTGAAGCCTCCCCAATTGGACACAAACAAGGAAAAAACCATATGAATGGGTACCAAGCAAGAGTTATCCAATGTGTCTCACATACCTTGTTAAATTGGTCAACTAAAATGCGATCTTTTGCCTTCTGAAGGGGATCCCTAGGATATAACGGATGTGTCGTCCATATGTCTTCTAAGTAATCGGCAATTATTAAGCTCTCATAAATGACATCTCCACTCTCGACTTCTAGAGCAGGAACTTTACCCAATGGACTTTTTTCGTAGAACCAGTCTGGTATACTCGATAGGTTAATGTAAACTACATCGTACCTGTAAAGTAAATTGTTATCGAGGTGAAAAGTATAACGCTAGGTAAGTGAATTTACTAGGTCGAGAGAAATAACTTATATTTTGCACTATAGAGAAACTCTAAATGGAAAAACAGTGATTGTTCTCTTCAATAAAAAAATGGGCAATTGAGCATCTCGCTTCCTCAAAAAACGTCTCCAATTTTGAGATCGGTAAATTACTGTTGTGTAAACTACACGAGAGTGCCGTTTCTTTAGGTTGTCGAAGATGAGAGCGAGTCACGGTCTAAATATCGGAAATAGCACTCAGGACAACCTGTATATGTAACATAATTCAAGTTCTTTCATAAGATCTGGGGATTTTTTTTCATTGTTGAATTGTCATTTTCATGTTAGTTTTTTCATTGCAAAATTTAGTTGATAATTATTTAATTCATTTAAATCTATTTGCTGTATTTAGTTTATATGATCAATTTAAAACAGGTAACTTTAATCAAACTTTTTAAAACGCGAGTTTAAAGTGTGATAAAAAGTTGACATCGGACAAGAATTTCTTGTTTTTTGCCAAACAATGTCACGTGCGGGCTAAGCGATGCAGGTGTTTGATCAGTTATGGCGATATAGAGAAATTTCGAGTAACGCCGGGTTAATAACAATGTTGAATTTGTTAAAGGAAGTGGTTTTTTTTGCTTAAATAGGAAGAATGAAAAGAGCGAAATGTCTATTACGCTAATTTTGGCACTGGAGTCCATCCGGCGATGTAATTTTAAGAAAAAGAATCGTCTTCACGTTAGTAAAATAGTAATAATGCTGTGCAAGAAGTTTTTTCGCATGGAATTTCGACTTAAAAAAAGTTTGTGTGAATAAAGAAATAACTGGGGTAATACAAGAGAAGTCTTACTGTCCGAGCAGCCACAAAGTTAAGTGACATTGTTTTTGAGCCCGTAAGTTATTGTGGTGCATTAAAAGTGATTTTTTTTGTTTTTGTGAGAAAAATCTGTCAGATTCATCTTAAAGTGTGTATTTTTAGCGCGGCGATGCCGATTTTATAGATTACAAATACGACCATCTTCTTCAAATCATAATATTCTGATGACATTTGGCATCGTTGTTGATCATAAGAGCCTGTACTGTAAAGTCAAGGTGAGGCGGACTATGGGTATCATACTGAACAATAAATGGAATATCTAGCCTTTTGGCTCTTGCCTAAAATTGTGGTTAGTACTATAATGATCTGATCCGGTACTGCTATTTTGATTCCCCGTATACCTACATACTTAAACAAGCGGCACCTTCAAAACTTTCATGTCAAAATGATGGACAGACGGTCGGATCGGACTGCGTCGTACGAATGGAACTCATGTGTTATGTTATATATTATGGCGGTTCGGGACATGAGACACAATATTTTTACGTAGAATCCAGTGGCGTGTTAATTAAAACAATTTTTGAAATGACATGTTTCTACTATTGTTGATTGGTATCAGCTGCCTTAATTACCATGCATACAATAAACAAAACAAAATTTCCATGAATTGATGGCCTACTATTTAAAAAAAAATATCAAAGTCCTCGTTTGAGATCGAAGGGACTTCAGCGCATTTTTGTGTGGCAGATCAGTATTCTATTAGCCACTTTCGACTCAACCATCAATAACAGATCTTGTCGAAGGCTACTACATTCACTAACCGCTTCCCACTTTCCGCGTGCATCCGCAATTCGCTTTTAAAGATTTAACTCCACCATCAGTAAGATCGTGTTGGGGGCTACCACATTCCCTTTGACGGTACCCACTTCCGACGTTCCGTTCACCCGCAATTCGCGTTTGAAGATTTGACTCCACCATCAGGAAGATCGTGTGGGGGGCTACCACATTCCCTTTGACGGTACTCCCTTTCGACGTCCAGTTTACCCGCAATTCGTGTTTGAAGATTTGACTCCACCATCAGGAAGATCGTGGTCGGGGCTTACCACAATTTCCTTTGATGTTTACCTCCTTCCGGGGGGACGTCCCCGTTCACCCGCAATTCGCGTTGAAGATTTGACTCCAACCATCAGTGAGATCGTGTCGCGGGCTACCACATCCCCTTTTACGGTCCCCACTTCCGACGTCCCGTTCACCCGCAATTCGCGTTTGAAGATTTGACTCCACCATCAGGAAGATCGTGTCGGGGGCTACCACATTCCCTTTGACGGTACCTCCTTCCGACGTCCCTTTCACCAGCAATTCGCGTTTGAAGATTTGACTCCACCATCAAGAAAATCGTGTCGGGGGATACCACATTTCCTTTGACGGTACCCCCTTCCGACGTCCCGTTCACCCGCAATTCGCGTTTGAAGATTTGACTCCACCATCAGGAAGATCGTGTCGGGGGCTACCACATT